TAGTTTTAGTCTTTTAGTCTGCCAGAATCACATATTATACTACTGGCTTATAATTGATGTGTCGTGTGTTAATTACTTTAATGTTGCAGCTGCCAAAGGTGAAGCTAATTGCAGTTTATTTATTGTGTCCTGCTGGAGTCTTGACATCACTGTGAGGTAGCCAGGCAACCAGCACTCCAATAGTCTCTTGGCAAAGAAATAGTGCAGCACATAATTACTGGACTAAATACAACTTGATGGTTTTATGCTTCGGCTTTTGTATGAATACACAAATGAAGTACAACATATTCAGTAGAGGGCTTTGGAAGTGCTGGTAGGCATATTTTGTTTTGCACAGGGTCAGGCTAGCTGTCTCCCTGTTTCCAGTTTTTATGCTAAGCTAAGCTAACTTCTGGCTGTGGCTTCATATTCAACATACAGACATGAAAGTGGTATCAATCTTCTTGTTGAATTCACAAAATGTCAAATATTCCATTAAAGGTAATATGAACATGAAATAAGGTATATCTTCATATGTCTGCATAATGCATACATATGAATTAAATTGTTATTTTTCTTCATAACACAAATGTAAACAATCACAGCCATGATGGTGCGCTTTTTGTTGTTCATTTTATTTTGTTACAAAGGGTTTTTTCCCCACACTGTTTAGGCAGAAAGCTTTTCACTGGATTTGACGTCCTTGCTCTCTGACACCACTTTGCCATCCACCAGAGTCTGAGTGACTGTCACCACTTGGGTCTGGATCTTTTTATGATCAACTGCATCCTGTAGTCTGGAAAAATGAACAATACAGTAGAATCAATACAAGGTTGTTACATTTAGTCCTAGTTTATACACTGGGATAAGATCTTTAGTGTTACTGTTTTGTAAACACATATATTTTCTGTCTTAAAGTACATGCTAAAATTCAGCAGTTGAGATGTCAGTGGTGAATTTACTTTTACTTTCCATATCAATTCGTTTTTGCATGAAGCTAATTTGAATCAAATTTGCAAATTCCCTGAGGGGAACAAAACTTTGATATGGGTCAGCTGACAATACAGAGCAATATATAAATTTTACTGAAGCTTTCTGCCTCTTCTCCTCATACTCACTTTAAGTCTCCCTCGCCGTCCAGCAGCCTCCTGTACTCTGCGATCTCAGCCTCCAGTTTGACCTTGATGTTGAGCAGGTGCTCATATTCTCTTGCATTTTGCTGGATGTCAGCGCGGATCTTAGTGAGCTCCTCCTGCAGCCTCACGATTATCACGTTGTACTTCTCCACCTCCATGTTGTAACGCCTATCGATGTCACGCAGGGTGGCCTCAAGGGACGCTTTCTGTCATAAGGTGAAGACACTGCTTGATTTCGCAGTTGATTGATGCAGTAGAGAAACAGAACAAGTCTAGCACATAGCATATTTAAGTACAGCTGGCAGAGGTTGTGACTGAGGTTTGCTCAACTGTTATTGGATAACATAGTGTAAAGGGACGGGACTTAGGAAGGGTCAATTACCAGCTGTGGTATTGAGAGTTCAAGTCACACTAATTATGTAAATTAGCACAATTTACTTACCAGACTAAGTGCTGACTGCAGTTCAATGTCCAGAGCCTGATACCTCCTCCTGGTTTCCGTCATCACAATCGAAGCTTCCTTTAGAGCTGTCGTGCTTTCAGTGACTTGGACCTGCACCTCTGTGATCTGGAAATGAGATAAAATCCATAAAGTACATAGGTACTAGGTAAGGTACTTAACAGCTAGTCAACCGGAAATGTGTTTGACGAATATGCATTAATCAATTACCTGAGATTCATGCCATGCTTTGAGTTCCTCTTGGTTCTTCAGTGCCATCTTCTCATACTTAGCCCTCATCTCCTCCATGATCTTGGCCAGGTCCTGTCCTTTAGGAGCATCAATGTCCACATGGACGCCAACCTGGGTGATCTGGGCACGCAATTCAGCAACATCCTGTTGAGGGGAAAATAGTTAGGGAGTGATTTCCTGACCAAGGTTAGTGGGGTTATCCTGTGCAAAGAGGTTAAGGAACAAACAGATTGCCATGATGGTAAGTATTTGCAGTCCAAGGTTTGTCTCTTTGAACTACTATCCCATCAGAAGTAGGGTTAGGCTGAAGGCAGTTGTCCTCATACAAGTATTGTCTGACTCACCATCTCATGGTTCTTTCTCAGGCTGATCAACTCTTCCTTCAGAGACTCAATGTCACTCTCCAGGTGCAGGCGAATAACGTTGGTGTCATCCAGAAGCTTCCTCAGTCTGGCCACATCAGCCTCCACCGTCTGACGCATGGCCAGCTCATATTCCATCCTAACAAAACATACTGTATATCAGATGTGCTCATGCTGGATGGAGAACCTGTTTCATTTTGTATGGAAAGCTGAACACTCACTTGACTCTGAAGTCGTCTGAAGCCAGGCGTGCGTTGTCAAGAGCGATAGCAAGATGTGCGTTGCCCTTGATCATGTCAAGTATCTGAAAGACATGAAATGTTTTTTGTAGTTTTCAGTGTGTGAGATACAGTTTGTGTACTCTGTAGCACACTCACACGGCCATTTTGACAGCAAACTGTAATTTTCACTTTGATGAATTGTGCAGGTGAAAGAACACACCTTTGATAACACGCTGTAAGTCATAAAAGAACAAAGCAGGTTATCTTTTTGATACTATCCCTGGAGATAAAGATAAGAGTCTACACGTGGTAAATGATGTGAAGTCAGGCAGTTAGAGATACATGAACTCTTTGGAGTGCAGGAGGTATGATAATAAAAAGTTAAAGCCCGGAATGACTTTTGCCCTAGCTTTATGTGAAATGTATACAGCCCTCACCAAAGTGGATAGGGGACTGAGAGCTCTGTCAATCAATTAATGAATGATTGAATGTACTTATTTAAAAAAAACTACACTTTAACAGAAATTTTTGAGCTTTAGTTTGTCATAGCTACCTCACCCAGCAATAAATTGCACTGCACCAGTGTAAAACCGTACACATTTAGTAGCATTCCTGTTATCAAACCATTTCCTTTACTTGATACACTTCAATGTCTGAAACAAGAACACAGAGGAGACCCAGACTTATCACTCTACCTTTATGCACTTCTTTTTGCAGTTTTGGCATTATGTAGTAAGATATATGCTAAAAACAACTCTTTTTGCTCACTTTTTTGTTTTTAATTAAGTGACTAGACTAAATAATCATTGAGACTGACTGACTGATTCATTGACTCACCTTTGCCCTCAGGTCTGTGATGGTGGCGTTGTACTTGCTGTAGTCCCTCCCCTCCAAGGGGCCTTTCTTCTCGATGACCTCTCTGATCTTGATCTCCAACTTGCCGTTGGCCTTCTCCAGGTTCCTCACTGTCTCCAGGTAGCTAGCCAGGCGGTCGTTCAGGTGCTGCATGGTTGTCTTCTCATTGGTGATGGCCAGCGTACCAGGGTTTGACACACAAGTCATGCCATACCCACCCCCGAAGCCGCTACCAAAGGTGCTGGTTGAGATCTTGGTCCCATGGCCACCTGCCCCTCCGCTGACGCTGAAGGCATAGCCCCTACGCGCCTGTGGAGGTCCGTGAAGGCTTGCCGAATGGATACCAAGACCTATAGAGGTCTGGCGTTTAATCATGGGCTCCATTGGTAAAAGGAGTTTGCTGAACGATCAGACGAAGAAGCAGGACGTCCTGGCACAGAGGGATCTGGCAGCTGAGAGTGGAGGGCTGAGGAGAATCCTAGGATCTTATATATCACCCTGAAAGACAATATTGCTTCCTGCCACTCCTCTCCTATCTATATTACATTTTTACCTTTAGCCTTCATAGACTTTGTCCCCTAAACATCCACCCTGAACCAGTCTGTCAAAGGCAAAACGGTATGCTGACATTTTCATATTGATAGTGTGTAGTAAGTTAGCTGTATCTATGGTAACAATGATATCAACAACAGCTTAAAGGATCATCTCTCTTATAGTCAGCAAATTACATAAGACTAGAGCCAACAATGAACTCATCCTATAAACAACAAATCTATTGTTGTCCCAAACTATTAAAAACATATCAATGAACCAGGCTAATGAACTGGGTGATTACCTTCATTGTACTGAACAGTGCAACCAATATATGCATCGTGCTTATGTATTAATTACTCTCCAGAAAACCAAATGTGTAATAATAGTAATAATCTGTAGCTGAAAATAATCCCCACAAAATTAATTATTTACTCTTGTTGAAGTAAAACGTACTCAAATCTACAGTGCCCAGCTTTTTCAGGGAATTTATTATTCTTTTAAAAATGAAGGTGCAATTAAGAGACGGACAGGCTTGGGGCTGAGAACCACAGACAAGTTTGGGAAGTAAGGAAGTATTGAGTGACAGACTGGTTTTACAAAGAACAACAATATAGAATTACATCAGGTGTTGGGGCCAAAAATGCAAGGGGTGACATTGGTAGGGTCATGCGATGAAACAGCCTATGAATTTGTTGACACTGTACAGTGATTGTAAATGGGTGCATCTAGAGAAATATCCATGGGCTGGCGTGAAGGTGGCATGGAGACTTTACGAGGTGGCAGGAATATATGCTGATTTTATCTATCACTTAGTATAAAATGTGGCCATAACAGATTACATTCATTTCTGCTTTTTAATGTCTTAAATTTGACACCAAACTAGATCTGCCTCTGATTGTAAAGGTAGCAGTGCAGCTTTAAAAGTAGAGAGGGTGAAGACCGTAAGCTAAACTTACAAATGGATTAAGAGTGAAGGATCTAATGCTTATCAAACATGAACTCTGAGGCCTAATTTAGTCAGTGCTGTACTGTAATATTGCTTTTGAAAGTGAAAACAGTCACTCTTCCTCTGCCACTATCTGTAGTTGTTACATCACCTAGTGATTTATTGATTTATTAATTCATTCTATTCCTCCTCTATAATGTCATGATAATATAACCTGATATATTTGACATAAATGATTTTCCAACAAAACACAATTTTCACACAAAGACACAAAGATAAATTTCACGGATGGACTTTATTGAAATGAACAACACAGTGCACCAGGCAGACTTAACTGGACAGAAAGAAAACCAAAGATGATGAAATATAAAAAAAAACTGTTTTGTATTCAATTTTACTCTTCTTTTTAATTAATTAATTTTTTTAACTCACTTTGATATGTTCAATTAGTTTGTCTCCGAAAAAGCTCACAGTTCTCCAATTCGGAACTTTTGTAAACAACTACAGGTCAACGTACAAACACATAAATAAACTGTGATGAAAATAAATAAAAGATGATTAAGTTTTCCTCTGATCCAGTTTCTTTTTATCAGCCTGTGGCAGAGCTGTATACCCAGGAAGTCAACCTAATCAGCTGAGACTCTTTTGGTTAGTGCTGTGTGACTAAGAAGAAAGTAGAGCCCATTACAAATAAAGATCGATTTTGACCAATTGTATGTTAGTGTTATGATGCTGCGACAGTGATTGTTGGAAGTATCAGGCGGTTGCTTCTGGCATTCAAAGGTTCTTGGTCTCTGTGCTGGAGGAAACCACCTTCCCGTCCACCAGGGTCTGTGTGACGGTCATCACTTTGGTCTTCACTGTTTTCTGGTCTTCCAGAGCGTCCTGGAGTCTGAACGGAAAGATCAACAACAAATTAAGTGTCAGGTAGTTTCTTTTGACTTTGCCTTTGCAGGTTGGTTATGTATTAAAATGTGAAATGTGATGTTTCCAATCAAGAATCATGAATATACTCACGTGAAGTCCTCTCCGTCCAACAGCCGTCTGTATTGAGCGATCTCGGCCTCCAGCTTCATCTTCATGTTGAGCAGGCTCTCGTATTCCTGCGTCTGCATCTGGATGTTGTTACGCAGCTGTGTGAGCTCCGCCTCCAGACCAAGGAGGATGTTGTTGAGAGACTCTATCTCCATGTTGTAACGCATCTCTGTGTCCCTCAGCGTGCCCTCCAGAGAGGCTTTCTGTGGGACGAGCGAGGGGGAAAGAAAAGGGTTAAAATTTCACAGTGAACCTAAGTCGACCATGACAGCTCCATAGCGAGGGGTCACCAGAGTGTAAAGCTTGTGTCAACAAAGTAAAATGTGAGGGACTTGAAGTGAGAGTGCTGAGTTGGGCATTGCAGGGAGTTAAGATAAGCGTGTATTGGGGTAAATGAAGTGTGTGCTGACTGAGTGCTTCTCACCAGGCTCTTCTGTGACTCCAGCTCGATCTCCAGGGTTTGCAACTGTCTGCGCAGGTCATTCACCTCTGTATGGGCGCCCTTCAGGGCCTCTGTGTTCTGGGTGACCTGGGTCTGCACTTCTGTTATCTGAAATAATCATAATCAAGATGAGTAAAATACGATTTTTTGCTTTGTGCTTGAGAGGGACTTCTGGGTTTGCAGATGAAAGTTTTTTGTTAATCGTTTACCTGAGATTCGTGCCATGCTTTGAGTTCTTCCTGGTTCTTCAGTGCCATCTTCTCGTACTTGGACCGTATTTCTGCCATGATCTGAGCCAGGTCATGTCCTTTAGGAGCATCGACATCAACATGGACACCTGACTGGGCAATCTGGTTACGAAGCTCCATAACTTCCTAAAGAAATAGGAATGTATAGAGGAATTAATAAACATCAATTCTAACTTTTTTTCTCATCTGACTGGGAAGTATATGAAAAGAAGGTTTTGTGCCGATTCTAGTGCACATAAAAGGTGCAAATGAATACCACTAAAGACTTTTTTTGTGACCCAGCTGTGACTCCTGTCCTCTTCCAACCATAATCACGTTATGGTCAGGTAAATATACAGGGGGTGCATCTAAAGCTGTGAATGGGACCCTAAACCCTTAATTCCTTCAGTAAACAAACGGTTGTGTTTTGGCTTATGCACTTAAATTATAGTCATTTTAATTCTTTGGTGTTTTCTCTGTTGCCAAATATGGATGGGAACCATTTTTACGATGAGGCTTCCCACAACATTCACATACAGATATTTGAGATTTCTTAACAAACCTCCCTCTTCCCACTGAAGTTTTCTCAATCTTGTTTTCAAGACGCCCTGCAGCATGTCAGGATGTACTGTACATACCCAGCCTAAGCACACATAGTAATGATGTTTGAAGGGATTATTGAGATCAGCCTGTAAGCAAATATTTATTCCGGTCTTCTGAAGGAGTGGATGTTTGCTGAAATGATATCCAGAGATCTTTTTAAAGGTGGCTTTTGTTTAGAATTCATTAGACTAATCTTGAACTTTCACAGACAAAAACAGAAGATTATGTTTAAAGGACACCTGTTTTCTAAATCAGCTTGTCACGATAGGTGTTGTGGTCCTACAACAACACAGAATGTTCTGCTGATGTTAGTTAGTTAGTTTGGGTTATTTCACATTAGAGATTTCTGCATTTCTGTGTTCGTCCTTGCTTTTTTTACTGGTTTGAAGTGGGTGGGGCTCTTCTGGAAAAATGTGGTGTCACTGTGTGCCATCTTCGGAAACATTTGACTAAATTTGATGGCAGTCGATGCGGCTGTATGCTAATGTTGACAGTCAAATCTGATTAAACCACACCCAGGTACCTAAGAAAGCAGATTAGCCAAGTTTTTGAAGGGCTTTAGAGTTTCAACATGCAAGGAATTTGCCTTGGCACTGTGGTGCGTGACGGTCCTTTGAATGTCGTCATACTCACATTTTCATGGTTCTTCTTAAGGTGGATGAGCTCCTCCTTCAGGGCTTCGATCTCGCTTTCCAGGTTCATGCGGCTCATGTTGGTGTCGTCGATGAGCTTCCTCAGACCGATGATGTCAGCCTCCACAGACTGGCGGATGGCCAGCTCAGATTCGTATCTAAACAGCACAGCACAGGGCGGGGCAGTGAGGATAACTTCAAAGCTTGTTAGAGAGACTGGTCCAACTTAGTACAAGTTCTGATAAATAGACTTACAAACTGAATAACCCAATGACTCTTTTATGGTATCTTTGCTATAAGTGTACATATACATGTTCAATATTTAGTCAGCATACAATATTCTATACTCTATCTGCCAGCTGTGTTTGCTGTGATGTTTAATTTATGACCCTACTGAAACCTCTCCACCAGCCATGATGCAAAGGTGATGATTTATGATCTACAAGACAAACAACTGTTAACTCTTCAGATCATTACACTGTGCATTCATCCTACAACCCATTTAGCATTAAAAGAGGGTGTGCCCGCAGCTGTCTGGCTTAGTGTTTTACAGTCTCAGTGGTACTGCGGGCGGGACTTACTTCACTCTGAAGTCATCAGCCGCCAGGCGAGCGTTGTCGATGTTGAGAACCAGGCGGGCATTGTCAGTGGTGGCATCAAACACCTAGAACAGGTTTACAAAGGAGAGGTTATTTAGATTGCAAACTGAGGACAGGGGCCAGCATAGACAGCCAACAGCTGAGTGAACGTTTATACCAAAGAGCTGACAGATGTCTGTAGTTTAAATATCACTAATGCCACCAAGTTGTAATACCTTCGAGGAATAGGGTAAAATTTTGGAAAATGAGTTTGTTTTCTATATAGTTATTTTTGATGCTTGCCTCCAGGTCTGAATTCAGGATGAATAAGTTCAGATTCCCCTTGAAATCAATGAAACGAGGTGGTGGAAACATTACCGTTTTTGTCCACAGGGGTCGCCAGAATCAAAACAAAATGAACATAACAATTGAAATGAACAAAGTCAGCCAACCAGTTCCACTTAAGTACCTCAGGGTAACGAGAAAAAAATTAGGAAACTTAAAATATTGCGAGAACATTACTCTACATAAAAAACAAATGATACTGAAACTGCTTGAAGTACAGCACAGTGCACTGATAAACGTGTGTAATGAGTTTTTATTTCAGTGAAGTAAGTTGTATTTGGTGTGGTGACAGCGGGCCACTTCAAAAAAGCAGACGGTTGCAGTGTTTGCTATAGCTGTCACAGTTGGGTAGATAAGGGCTGGGATGGATGGCAGGAGAGGCATCCAGGTGCCAAAGTCCAGCAACCAATCAGCAGCTGCCAGGCAGCAACTGTCCCATTGCTGCTAAGGAACAGGATCTATCCTGTCAGCAGGCCTGAGAAAGGCAGGTGATTTGCATGAGGGTTGGTGGTGGTGGTGGTGGTTGTGTGTGTACATGCTTGGTCATGTAAGTGCGCATGCATGTATGTGTTTGCATGGGTGGTTGAGTGTGCGTGCTTTGCTGGATCAGTCTGTTTTAGTGTTGCTGTGAGAGTCTGTGTTTTCTCAGATGGGGGTGAGGCAAGGGGCAGCATTTTGTTTTTATTTTATTTATTTTTTTGCATCATGTCAAATGAAAAATGAGACTGTTTTGACCCTGGGCTGTTTGGATGAACTGAGGCCCATTTACTGCTAGTAAAATAAACAAAACCAAATTTCAAATAGTTTTTATGTAATGTTTTGAGAATGATAACAGATGGATAACTCCTTCCTCTTCTCTTCTCTTCACCTCCCATTTTGCCCATTTAATTTGTCATTGTTTTAAGGAGGATTTGCTGACCTTGATGCTGCTATCTATGCTGCTCCCACAAGGAAAAAGATTAGAAGAAATGCTCTTTGTGGGCATTCACACAATGAGAACATGTAAAAATAACACTGTTTTGAAATGCTACAGTAGACACACAGTATTTGTAATTGAGTGTTTCTACAGTTTGGCCCAATGGAGCCCAACTGGAATGTTCCATTTGGATCCTGCACTTCACTTAATTCTCTGAAAAGGAAAATGTAGTTTTGAATAAAGCAGGCAGTAGCAGGATGAGGGTTACACAGTCCAGTTACTCTGTTTTTCCCCCTCATTCACTGGGGTAAAACCCACAATAAATGATTGACAGATTGTCCTGGTGGTGTAATATCTTAATTTACTTTCACTTCCAAAATCACTCTGCGTTATTTAACTGTGCCGGGCGTAACTGTACTGTATGGGGCGTATCAGGTATCTGTGAAATGAATTGCTTCATCAGATTAATTAATTATAAAATAAAATACAGAACATAAAGAACTAATAAGCTCCACCTCAAATTATCCTCCTCACATTGAGCGTGTTGGGTTTCTCTTCTTTTTCCACCTTCCCTGCCTTATCAGCTTCTATTGTACGTATACACAGTACAATGACTGTACTGCATGTTCAGTCCCATTGTTCAACAAACACTGTTTGAGTTACACTAAACAAAGAGGAAAAAGATAGTTCAATTCATGATGTATGGGCCTGCATGTTGACCCTTTATGGTCTGTAAAGTCCCTGTTTGTCTCTGGTTTCCTGTCTCTCTGACCCCTGATGTTCCAACATTCCTCCACCATACTGTTTCCGGTCCAACCCCCGCCCATGGAGTGGTGGCGGGCACTGAGCCGGGGGACCAGCAGGAACCTATTCAGCGCTGTTAGTGAACTACAGTTGAGCAGTAACCCTGAGTACTGATGGGGTTACATTTAGGTCAGGGGGTGCTGGATATTTTACTTTCGACACATGCTTTTTAAATACGTAAGGCGTATGGCACTTTATTCTATTTTACCCTTTTCTTGCTCAGTCACACATCTCATAACTCAACCTGGTTTTCATCTTTCAGTTCACCAATGCACATTCCCTCCATCCAACTTCCCCCTCATGTGCTTTTGCTCACACACTTAATAAATCAACACATGCACATCCTCCCCCAGCCCCCTCCTCACCTTCTTCCTCAGGTCGTCCAGGACAGCCTGGTACTTGCTGTAGTCCCTGAAGTCAGGTCCGCTCTTCTCCAGGGCCTCCTTGATCTTAATCTCCAGCTTGTGGTTGGCCTGCTCCAGGTTCCTCACAGTCTCCAGGTAGTTGGCCAGCCGGTCGTTCAGGTTCTGCATGGCAAACTTCTCATTGCCCATGATGTCGCCGCTGTTCCCGCTGGTGCTCACCTGGATGCCGCTGGAGAAGCCCCCTGCTCCGGAGCCCATTCCCATGCTGGATCTCAACCCACCGCGGTAGCTGGAGGAGATGCTGATGCTGTTTCCACCGGCCCCACCATGGATACTGGGGGCCTTGTAGACAGGAGTGCGGGTCACTGATGCTACAGAAGGCCTGCTAGAGGTGGAGGAGCGCACAGAGTATGTAGTTTGCTTAGAGGTTTGCATTGTTGCTGTAGAGTGTGAGACTCAGTGAGAGAGACTGTGAGTACGAGAGAGGCACAGGCTGGACAGGCACAAATGGGAGCTCACAGACACAAGGCAGAAGGAGAGGGGAAGCTGTTAAACTATATAAACCTTGTGGGCCCTCAGGTCCGCCCCTCAAACCACTCCCCCTCACTGAGTCACCGCCCTCTTTTCCACAGGCCTAAACCGCAGGACTGCTCAGAGCATGCCTTTGTCCTTCACAACCGTCCTAAGTTGGTAAATTCTGAGGTCTGGAATTCAATAACTTGGAGATTTGCAGAATGAGGAAAATAAAACTAGATACTGACAGACTCAAATATTACTTAATATTACTAGAATGTACCAATAGAACAGTCCAAGAACATAATTTTATCTTTTTATTTCAGCAATTCTCCCAAAGATATTAAATCTAACAATATATTTCTTCTTCTTGTTTTTAATAGTTTTGGAACAACGATAGGAATTGTGTGGCCCTAAAGCATAAATGATATCATCTATAAGGGGAATTGTTTATAATAAAAATATCAATTCATCCTTCAAGATTGTTACCTGGGTGTAAAGCTTCACACCCAGGTAACAATCAAAAAACACATCTGTGTAGTAATACAGATGGGCGAGGTATCGAACCATCCCATTAACTTCCAACAAACTTAAGTTGCATAAGCAAATATCTCTTAAATGTCCATCTGTTGCTTCACACTCCCCACCCCAATAGAGTGACGTAAACATCAAAGCATCATCACCTTTAGAGAACTCAATTGAGACATGTCGGTTCAGTCAAACTAGTTCATCACTGTCTGTAGTCACTGTACGTGGGTGAGATCAGGCCCTGTCACATCTGGAGAAGCAAGATGTCACATTCGACAGTTTGAATTAACTGCATCATCAGGATAATGCAGTCTGGTTGCCTAACGTCAATTCCAACTTATGTATATCTGACAGAGAAACATCTGCACTCACATAAAATGGCTTTAATGGGCCACACTGACTTTTAGCCCCGTAAGTACTAGGTGTACATACTTTACATCTTACATTGCTGCTAACAATTTCCTTAACAATGCCAGTGAGTTTTGAACTTAATTTAATTAAAAATGTTCCACTCATTTCTGTATAATATGAAAATCTGTACAGTGGTGAATGGAAACTAATGGCTTCCTGGAACTGTAGGAAAGCAAACGTGTAAAGTACAAGATGTGTAATTAAGGAGAAACACAATAAACCTGGACAAAAACATCAGATAAGAATTTTTAAGGTTTTAGGTAGCTCCAGATGTTAAGTACAGTACAGTATGTTATCTATCCTACATAGGCGGATGTGCGTCTGATTGTCCCCTTCCCATAAAGGATATGGTCAAACAAAGGAACAATTCCACAGTCTCCTTAGTCCTTAGAAGCCCCCCTGCAAGCACATTCCACACATGGTACCTCTAAAGCTACTTGTTATTTGCTAACGGAACACAGACAGAAATCCACCTTTTGTTTTCTTCTGCTTTCTTTGCAGCTTCAGGTTTTTTTTTTGTTGGTCATTTGCAGTTCAGAAAAAGCCTACAAGGGTTTTAACCTGTCTGTTGTCACAGCTTAAAATTCATTTTCCAGGACGCAAACCATTAGGCAACAGTCTTCTTTGGAAATGCTTGTCCTTCCGCCCATGGTGTTAAGTATCAACTTGTTCTCAGATGCAGTTTAATGGTTTTCTGTCTGTCTGTTCTCATGTTCAGTCTCATCCTCGCTCCAACTATTTTGTTTGTTTTTCAGGAAGGAACATGCAGCAGGATATTAAAGTATAAAGACCTCCTGATGAAATCAAAACAAGTCATGTTCTGTCATTGAGAAGGCAAACAAAAGGGATTCGTTCTAATCACAGCAATAAAGTGGCTTCATAGTAAGTTGCCTCAAAACATATTATGATAATAATGATGCAAATGCCAAACAATTCAAGCCAATTTGTAAGTTCTCGTTATAAGCTGAAGGCCGCTGTTATATCTGTACTCATCTAGAAAGGGATAAAAATGAAGTAGTACTGACAGACAAAAGATAAAAGGTATTTTGGTAAGCATCAGCGATCGTGAATCTTTTCCCAAAAATGAGTAACCCCAACTACAGACTAAACCAGCGCCAGTCACACAGGGTCTTTGCATGGTTGGCCGGTTTTCTGGTTTTTTGTCTGTCTAGCAGTGATAGTGATGACTGCCGGGCTTTGTCTGGTCCTGATGACTGCCACACCCAGCAGAGAAAACAAAGATTAAGGTACAGAGATGGCAGCCGTATAGAGCGGATAAAGGTCTCGAGTTTCAAACTCACTGTTTGTGTAAGATAAATGATAGAGATTACTGTAGGCTTCAGTCTCTGCTTTCCCAGTAAACCAATGTCATACAACGAAGACATTAGCCATTATTTGTTAACACTAAGACAAGGTTATTTAAAGGACCAGTGTGTAGGATTTAGTGGCATCTAGTGGTGAAGGTGTACATTGCAACCAACTGAAACCACTCGCCTTCCAAGTGTGTAGAAAAAACTATGGTGGCCGCTAAACTTGCCATACTATAGAAACATGGCAGTTTAACAAGGCAGCCTCCGTAGAAGAGGAACCGCTCCCTCTGTAGATAAAAACGATTAGATCCTAACTGTGCACACTGGACGTTTAATGAAAGTGATTACTTTGGAGGGATAGTTTAACGTTTTGTGAGATAAGAATTGATACTGAAGATTGATACTCATGTCTTAAGTATGGAGTTGGAGCTTGGACATTCAATTCAATTCAATTTTATTTGGTATAGCGCCAGATTCATAACAGGAAGTTTGCTCAGGGCACTTGTTTCAAATAGGAGCATCGTCTGGCGAACTCCTTGATAACAGGTTTAGCAGAGTGCGAAGATAGGAAACAGGAATAGATGGTGATCTCTGCTGTTTTCCTTAGTTCCTGTCAGTACTCGTGCTGCAGCGTTTGATTAATTTGGAGCGTGTTTAAATGCGCTTTATTAGGGCAACTCGGATAGGCAAAGGTTGCAGGTGCGATCGCAGGCGCTTGAAGTAAACAAATTGGCAATGGATAGTTTTTGGCCGCGGGGGCTCGTGGTCTGGATAAGATGGTGCTAATTTTAGTAAAGATTACGTTAAATGAAAGAAGGCAGTCCTGGGGATCTGCGGTTTATAACTGGAAGTTAGAATGACAGTTCCTGGGGATCAAAGTGGTAACTCAAGATTCCTGAACGGTGGCACTAGGGTCCAAGGTAATGCCTCTAGAGTAGGCGTACTAGGTCTGCTAGGACATAGAGGGTCTCTGAGGCTTTGGGGCCAAGTGTAAGAATTTCCTTTTTTTCTGAGTTTAAACATCAGACATGGTTATTTAGCTTAGGTTAGCATGTCAGGAGTGGGGCGGGCGGAGAGAAAGCGTAACCTGGGGTTTCGACTGGAATTGGAAAAAGACAGGCGTAGCCGCAAGGTGGTGCGAGGAGATCCGTACTGGAGTTGACGATTTCTCGTTGGTTGGTAACACATGAAGGATCCGAGGTGGGTGTTTGAAAAAACAGATAATAATGTTCAGACATGTGGCGTGATTATCGTTTTTTTTCGTGGATGGCTAGTTAAGGGCATTTGATTCCAATCAGGAGGGTTTCTTTTTTTCTTGTTTTTCTTATGTTTTGCGTCTTACTGTATTTTTCATGATATGTGCTTCTAATTAATTATATTTTTTTTTTTTTCCGGGCGCCGGGGTCAGTTTCACAGATGTTGACAAGAGTCGAACCGATTTTATAGCGGAGGTGGTGGTTGCAACGGTCCAGCACGCTGCGGTAGGAGATTGACAGCATCAGTGTGTCATTTCTGTGTTTCTTGAGACTCGCGTTCCTCTGAGGTGGGCGTTGCCTAGTCGGTTTAAGGCTCGGCATTCAATGTGAATGATGTTCTTCCTAAAGTATGAGGAGGGAGTGAGCGTATGCAGTTTTCGCAGAGTAAAATCTGCGTAAACATGGGTTGACGTGGTAACAGTGGATTTGGTTGGTCTCTTGGTCACGAGTTTTGGGGCAGCGGGGCAGAAACGCCACCTAGAACGGGTAGCCTCGCAAAGTCCGGCCGCTCGAGGTCAAGGATGTGTTTGTCTTTGTCGTTACGGGGTGAGTTTGAGTCATCAGGCCCTACCTTCTGATGGATGGGGTCCCCTTCCAGCTACAACGGCTAATCTCTTGTTCCTGCAAAGGGCGATAACGCACTGTTGTTCTTTCCCGGCTCATATGATTGGATG